AAAAAATTTTTCAAGCCTCCAATTAAACTCTAATTAAATAAGAATATTATGTATTTATATTATTTAATTTTTTTAACCTTTTTACAATATATAAAAAATAAAGATTTATAGTTGTAATTAATTATATTTCTTTGAAATATATTAAAATATAAGTTAATATTTTAAAATTATAAGCAAAATAGTTAAAAACTTTCAAGTTAATAATTTTGAAATAAGATATTATTTTGAAAAAATTAATATTATATTAAATATTAAAATAGCAAATAATCAAATTTTTAAGAAGGAAATATCAATAACAATTATTTTATTTTAATCTAACTTATATTAGAAAATTTTAACTAAACTATAAATAATACTGCATATTTTATATTTAAATCAAGTATTTTAAATTGAAAATAAATTACATTTATTTAAAAAAAAATTATTGTTTAATTATTTTAAAAGATATAATATTGAAAAATTATATTTTAAAAAATATTATAATATAAATATTAAGAACTAACAAGATTTTTAATAATATTATAAGAAATTATTATTGGTTTAAAATAAATATAAATAAATAAAAATATATACTAATATATAATTTGTATTATACATATAGTAAAATGAAATTCAAACTTTTTTCAAAAATTGTATTACTATTAAAAACATAATAAATTAATTAGAAATTGTATTTAATTGAAAATTGAACTACTATATATAGTAAAGATTAACAATACAATTATATGTATAATATAAATAATTTTAATATATAATTTGATTTTTTAAATTAAAGAATAACTCTTTAAAAAGTATTTATTTAATAAGATTTATTTATTAATTAAAAATAAAAATGAGAAAAACTTTTTAAAAACTTATAAATAAGTAATTGTTTCAAGCTTTTTTTAATACAATTTAAAGAAAAAGTAAAGTTTTAAAAATTGTTTTTTTTTTATTAAAAGTTTTATTTTAATATATCATTATATTTTTTTAATTTTTTAAGATTTTGTAAAAAGAAAAAAGTATAAAAAACTTTAGAATATTAAAAGATGAAAAAAACATATTTATTTTTTTAATTTTGAAAATAATTATTATAAAAGAAATTTTTAAAGTTATAAAAACATTTTTTAACTATTTTTTTTAATATATATATATATTTTTAATTTTATAACTTTTTTTAAAAAATATTAAAACCAAAACCAAAAAACATATTTTTTTATTAAGAAATTTGATATAAAATTCATTGTTATTTTGTAAATATGTATATTTTAAAATATAGAATAGCAATAGGTTATATAGCAAAAATTAGTTTGATATTATATTTAATCAATGTTAATTAATTTATTATTTTTTTAATAAGTCATTAATTATAATTTGACTTATAAACACATATACTATATATTTCTTTATAATATTTTTTGTAATTATAATATTAAAAAATTTATTAACAGATAAAAAATAAAATAAACAAATAAATTTCAAGCTTTCTTAACTTTTTTAAATATAAATAAATATAACATATATATTTTATTAATAAATTTTTGATTAATTCAATATAACTAGAAATTTAAAGACAATTGAAAGTCAATACATAAAAACCAGGTTGAAGTTTCCTGGAATTTTTATTAAAAGAAACAAAATTCTTATCATATTTTTGCTTTTGATAAAACTTGTTTGTTTGTTTTTAAAAACCAATTTCTTTTTGTTATAAAATGCAAGCATTTTCAAAATTTTAAAAGGTCAAAAATGGTATTTGAATCAAAAAAAAAAAAAGAGACAAGTAATTTAAAAACAAAAATAATAAAACTTTATTCTATTTAATACAATATGTATGAAAAAAAGTGAATACATATACAGTATGTACAGTATTTTCAATCAATCTCTTTTTTTATCTTATAAAAGAGTTTTTTTATTGTGAATTGATGAGCAAACAATTTTGAAACAGTGATTTTTGTTGATTTCTCGATGTATGAATGATATTAACATTTTTATGAATTGTTCATATAAATCAATCAACACATATACAGCAAGTATGTTGCAACAAATTTTAAACTTTACATTCTTATTGATTTTTTACGTATAAAATATTTTATTCAAAAAATCAAGTTCATGCTATCTTACGAAATTTTTGATTTCCAAATTTTGAAAAAGGCATATATCATTTGAATTGATTATTAGAAAGGTAAATTGAAATTGAACACGTTTCAGAATTTTCAAAAGAAAATTTGAATTTCGTTACTTTAAGTACAAGACAAGTAATTTTCTTCTTTCTGATATCATTTTGTTTACTGCGCTACAAGACTCATGTATTATGACGAAGGAGTTTGTCGCCCGCGAAAACAATTTGGTGTAGGGAACTTTCGACACATTTCGAGGATTACCACGCGCTCAGGGGAGATTTCTTTGGTTATCTGGTGTAACCATATCATTCGACAAGGTTTATCACGGATCACCTCTCCGATTTACAGTAAATGACACATAGTTTGCATGTGAGACACATATGGATATAACCTTTATTTTTTGGAAACAAATGTATCCTCAAATTGTAGCAGAGAAACCATTCTTTGGTTTCAATTACAGCATGCAATTCCGAAATTACTATTGAACATAACATACTATACGTACATGCGTATTTTGTATCTCGCTGCAATGCATCTTCCTTACCTTTTTCTTGTTTTACAAATCAAGCATTAATTGGGGAGATGGAATGATTACACAAAAAATCATGAACGGTGTTTGAAAGAATATGACACAAAGAGAATAGGAAGTGCATAGTATTTTTCTGAAGAGTAAGGAAAAATTCATTCAAAAATCAATGTTAATCAATTATTTGTAGTGTCACGTGACAAATTTCTGTTTTTTTTCGCTTAATGCAGAGAACCAACTGTTCTTCAGGCTAACCTTCAACTTCAATTATTTAAGATATCTGGGTCTCCGTTATGATTTAAATGCAAACCATTTATTCAAGCACATTCAAGCTTATTCTTCATATCCCATCGGTATACATATATGTGCCTTGTATGCATAATTTCTTCACAGATACCAACCAACTTTTCAAGTTATTGCGTATTGTTGATCACGTGCCCTTTACCAAAAACGCGTTTTAGAGTGCAAGAAAAGAAATTACCCGTCTATCGCCGCACTCTTATTTTAAGCATTCCTTTTCATTAGCCAAAGGTTTGAACAAAACGGCGGTCTAGATGAATCCGAATTAGGAAAATTTTCTTCTGAAAACATCCCGGTCCGAAGTCGTCATTTGTACTTTGTATATTTGTGTCATCATCAGTTCCTTAACGGGGAAGACGATAACCAAAATGAGTCCAAATTTCGACAAGAATACCAAATATGGGTTCATGTGACGAGACCGAAAATGTAATCACGAATTTGTTTATCACTCGTGCACTAGAAAATCGTACATTACCTAGGTGTTACATTGGCTTTCCCTTATTCTAGCTGGTCCCGGAAAATGATCATATTGTTTTACATTGAAGTTCCCAATTTTAACTAGTGTCACTTTGAACATAAACGCCAGAAGTTCCTGGGGTCCCGAAAAAATTTCAGAGCACAATCATTACACCCGTTATCAGAAGATTTCGATTGGTAGAGTGATGTTACGTCGATGGTAGTTAAGAACAAATAATCCAATAGGAAGCGGAAATTTCCGCCAAAAGTTGACCCATTTTATGCCTTTGATGATGCGTCGCCTGACCTTTTCATAAACGCTGCGTCTCACATGTTAGAGTGCATGTTAAATGCATAGGTGCTCAAATAACAACATTCGCGTGACAGGCAGCCTCTTTCATAATTTCTTGTTGGTAAGTCATGTGAGAAATTTTTATCATCGTCTTTTGTTCTCTCCTATGTCTCCTTTGCATACCACCGATTTCTTGGACCACACGTTCAAGCTGCATTCAACGTAATCACACCCATTCCCGTTGGTTCTGATACCCAACCTATGTATTTCTAATAATCCCCGATGACCTTTAATGAGCAGCTAGCATTTACGCAGGACAACTAAATTCAGAGTGCCGAGGCTAACGCCAAGAAATTACCTAACCTAAAAAAAAAAAAGAGCCAAACATTTCATTCACATAGCGATTCATTCACAAGGCGCAAAATCTTACGTACCATTTACGAAGGGAAAACTGGAGAAACTGGTCGAAATCGATAATAATACCCCGTATTTTGTGAAAAACCCACTGACATTCTTGAACACAACATGATGACATGATGCCTGTTCTTTTCTTGAATGGGATGATGACCTTTTGAACTTCAATCACTGGAACATGTAAGAATTCTTTTATCTGATAGTGTGCATGATGTCATGAGCATACAACAGATTATTGTTAGTTTGTGTTAGACTCCAACCTAATTTTCAGAATCCTATGTATACGTAATCGGTTTTTTTCACTGTTAATTTAGCTAATTATGATTAGTCTTTGGTGTTTAATCCGTCCAGTTTGTAAATCCATGATTGTATGAGGGTTACTGCAAAGGCCTAATATATCAGGCGTCATGTTAATTCCTTGTGTAGAAAAAAGAAGAAATTGATGACCTTTCTTGAGTGCGTGCTACACACTATACAAAACGCGTTCACATCCCACCCTAGAATTCTCATGAACCCTTTTTTTTTCTTTCGTCACGTGACCATTAATAAGCACGATTCGTGACGCATTGTACCATCACCCAACAAATGTGACAAGTTTCTGCTCTCACCAAAGGACATTTAGTTACTTCAGAATCTCCCATGTTTTTTCTATTTTATGCACGCAATTTATGCGATAGTAATTCCATGTCGCTTTTAATCAAATTTTCCTTCGCTTCACATTTTCTTTTTACGCATTGGTGGTGTTGAGCAGGAGGTTGGCGTAAATATTTTTAGGAAATGGTTTTATTTTACATTACATGTTTGTTGTTTATTTTTCCGGGTAAGAGATAGGTACAAAAATATGTTTCAGGGATACATAAGGTTGCGATTAACATTTAATTGTATGCGTATGTTTTGTTTTGTTGCATCTACCATGTCTAATCTATTTACATTCTACGAATTCGAAAAGACACTACCTGGAAGGCTTGTGGAACGTCAAGAAAACCTGTTTGCTTTGTTATTATGCGAGCTCGGAACATTATCCGGACCGGTGCGTCGTAAGATCGACTCGTACGGGCGAATATTAGCTTCCGGGCTCCGATCGAAAGTGGTGTGAGGGTTTTCCACGTGACGGAAATAAATCCTGTATAGTTTCCGCAGCCTTTATCCACTCGACTACGGTATTCACGCCTCCTTTTCTCCGCTCACTACCTGTTTCCAGCTTGTTTGCGGCAATTTTCCTTGATCATGATATCGAAACTGTTTTACTGCGTCTTCGGCAATTATTAGTGATTGCGACATCTACTGTTTATTTGTTGAACGAAAAGATTGTTTAATTGTGATGATGTTACCATCACCATCGTGTCATGGTCGTGGAAGAAAAAAATATTTTATTTTATGTTATATTTTGTTCTACATTCTATTCTTATTTCTTATTTTATTGTATTTTATTTTGGTATCGGTTTTTTTTTTTAAAAAAAAAAATAAAATAAGATGTACAATAATGATAGCGGTAGCAGATGATTATGACTTAAAAAGCATCATGCAAAGATGCGGCCCCAATGGAAGATGCCGACCGCCAACACGAGTCATCAAAGACGCGGACGAAAGAGAAAATTTATATTTATCAAGGAAAAAAAATTTTTTTTTTTCTACATTGCGACTCGTCTCAACGCAGCATTTCGCTCAAGACCGGAACAAATTTCCTTTGGAACCACGAAGCGAGTCTCATGAAATAAACATCAAATCCTAATCGCTTTTTGCAAATAATCGTACCAAAAGTAGAAATGTGTCCTACGTGTTTTTATTATACATTGTGATTTCCTTTGTTACCTTATTTGGTTTCGGCAAAACCGTGTGCGATATAATAACCATTGTACACTGTGTATATAATCACCTTTAGTCATCGATCGACTTAAAGATCACTATTCTAACGTGAGGAGGTGGTGTGTTTAATGAACCTTTTAATTTAAAACAAGTAAATTTTCATGTGCACGCACTCATTGAAGATTATTCTTAATCAGAGAATTTCCCCACTCCCTTTCATTGTACAATATATGCTGGTAATGTTGAAGTGCGAGTGAGATGACCTTGACAATAAAAATATTTCGAAGCCACCACCGCCATTCTTTTGGAACTGTAACCGGGTGGGTGCGTAGAAATATCGTTCCGCGGAATTGCTTTTTTTTGAGGGGCAAATCATGTGATCATGTGACCAACAGGAATCACCGATACTCCCACACACCTCATTTGTTTCCCCCACTAGTTAATTCTTTAAAATATGGTATCAATGAGATTTATGCACACGAATTAACGAAAGTCCTCGTAAAAATAAGAGAATACAAAGAATAGCAGAATAATTGAATAGTGGTACACTCTTTGCGTGTTCGCATTGATACAATAGGACACGCCAACTCTATACAACCGATTGAATAAAATAAAGAATGCCGGATATTACGGTTGTAATGGTTAGGTGGAGTATTTGTTGTTGTTGTTTTATATATTTATGCGTGCAAAAGATTGATTTTGCATTGATATGACAATGTGCATGTATAACACGCATTGTCAGACTGTTGTCAGGATTGGGATTGTAGGGTAGCGTTTTCCGTGTGTGTAGTGTGCGTATGGTGATGGCTGTTGAAGGAAGGTCCCTGGTTATGTGAGGCGAATGTGAGGACGCCTCCAACCACTTTGGTTGGGTCATGGTCGCGACGAAAAAAAAAAAGAGCGAAAAACGTTTTTTTCAAAAAAAAAAAAAAAAAAAATCTTTACAAGGGACTTCAGAAGTATAACAACGACAACAACATGAGAAGGAAATGTGAAGTTTAAGAAATATATTAGGGATCATCGTTTTAGAATAAAAAATTTTTAATTAATTTTAATTTATTACCACATAATGTTCGTATAACGACGTAATCTTGGGTACTTCTATATACGGTCGTGTAGAGGTGAATAATTTTCGTTCACTTCTCCGGTCATTTTCTGTACTTTCCGGGTTTTCAGACGCACACATACACTCACTCACACAAAAAAAAAAAAAAAAAGAAACCCCCCATCGAGAGAATTGGGTTTCAGTCTTTTCACAATGCATCTCTCAAGCACGGACTCTCCAAAAGTCTCTATTCTTTTTCCTTTTTTACTTTATCCCATAAATGTTTAAAAAGAAAAAACATCAAAAAAAAAAAAAAAAAAAGAGAATTCGGATAAAATAAAATCACGGCATTTTTTTTTTTTTTGCAATGAATGTTTAGGGTGCGTGTACGTGGAAGAAACTTTGTATGATACCTGATTTAGATTATTTATAATAGAGATGATCAACAATGAGGTATTCTATATTATCTTGCGTCTTTTTTCTTACATGTTCCCTTTTTCTCTCTTTCCCTAAAATTTTGTTCCTTTTTTCTCCGCTCCGGAATCACTTTACATTCTTAGTCACGTTTTGTCAACATAGGATAAAGCAAATCGGTCATTCTTGGTTGTTGGGTTTTTCCTTCTCTTTCTGCATACGACAAAGAAAATCTATATTCCGGAAACCCTTTTTTTGCTACTTAAATTTGGGTTAACTGCACCATTCTGCCAACATACGCAACCCTACGGCCAAAAATTTAATGTGTTCGTAGTTTGCTTAATTTCCGTTTTCCGCCGACGCAGTAAACACACTGGGACTAGGTCTAGTGATCCCTATTTTAGATTTAATTTTGCACAAAAGATCCCCCAAATCATTTTCAATACTGGAAAGTAATTGGTTATTTTTACAATAAAACTTCTTAAACGCGTCTTTTTTTTTTATATGGTCCCCAATTTTTGGAATAAATTGGAGCAAATCTGACTCTGTTCAATTTTTTCCTGCCCATCACACAAAAATACATACTGTATTTCTTATTTTTCTTTTTTAACTTTCTATCTAAATGTGCGTTATCATCATCCACTTAAAAAAAAACCGTTGTTCTTATTCGCTTATTTTTTCAAAAGCTATTCTCGCTACTTCTCCAAATACCATCCCAACAAACTTTGACATCGAACTTTTAAGAATTTAATTATTAGCATTATTATCATTTATATCTAGAAAAAAAAAAAAGGATACGCACACTCATATCTGCCTCACGTCCATATATACCTATACTCCATTTTCCTACCCTATAAGGAATATGAAGCTCATGCAGCCCACAAGAGGAAACATACTTGATTCCCTACCACAGTTCGCTGGCTCTTCAACGTCGTCCACCATAATAAACGTTGGTGAGAAAACCAACAATAAAAATGGCGACCCTATTCCTTCCATCACAATTAATTCGAGTAGTCCTCCGGTTATTTACTCTTCCGTCAAAGATTCCGATTTTCCGGATCAAATAATAAATGCTCCTCACTTTTCCCAAAGGATGAACGGCGATTACGCTCATCATGATGACTTCCACATGCAACCCTTCTCCAACCCTTTTCCAAAAACCTACACCGACGATAGCAGCGGATCGTCGTGCGCGGCTTCTGAATTTACAGTCGAGCTGACTCACTGCACCGAGGATGAGGATAACGTGACCTCGGATGTTGAGATCATCGTCGATTCCCCAGCTCCGATAACTCCTCATGCGGAATTTCCTTGCGACGCAAATACTCTTGGAGACACATGCAAATCGGAGATGAACAACGCCAACGATCCCATTCACATAATCCCTTATCGGTTTGACTTCAATCCTTTTCACACCCCAAGTTCAATCCTCACCGGAAAGACGTCCACTTTCAACTTTTCATCAGCCACGTTGGCCGCGACCGGTGACAAAATCTGCGCTCCCATCACAGGATCTTCCTTCACACAAAAATCTGCAAGCAGTCTTTCGGAGGTCTCGAATGAGCCACCCTCTCCATCTCCATCTCTATCGCTATCACTGTCGTTATCTCCTTCTCCTTCGCTATCGCTACTATCGCCACTATTATCTCCTGTATCCGAGAAAGATAGTACGGGGGAGGGAAGGAGGCCACGACGTAAGCGGACACGCGACGAGTACGTCGCTAAATTGAAACTTCCAGTAGATGGTATTGCCACGCGACTTCGTCGTAACCGCGGTTCGACGGTCACAGGTGCCTCGTCACCACCGAGGACGAACATTCCGTCTACCAAAGTCCAACCGCAATCGATCGTTGTGCCGCAACCTGTGGCCACTCCTGCGCCTAAACCCACTCGTGGTAGAGGGAGACCACCGAGTCAACAAGCGTTATCCCGTCTTACCGCAAAAGAACGTAAGTTGCATTCATACTACGAGGAACGTGCTGCTCCAATACCTGAGTGCGAACGTCCCCACATATCTCCGCCCTTTATGAATCTCGTACTTGATCATGGTCAAAACGCTGTGGACGCTGAACTTTTTGTGAAAACGGAAAGTGATGACATACCAAAGAAGATATTACAACAATCTCTGTCGGCTCATGAAAATCCGCATCCCACGGAAGGTGGGGACACTGTTCAAGTCACGGGTTCCCCGGTGTCCTCCGAATCTTCTTTCCTCGCGACGATCGATAATAAGATAAAAGAGGCCCGTGAAAATCTAGACACAGCCAGAGGTGAAATACAGCGTGCTAACTTGCTCTACTTTGACTCCAAAAAGAACAGAGGCAATGAACTTTCTACAAAGTCCATCCTCACCATTTGTCCGGGTTCTTCACTTGCAGACGTTGGAAAGAGGACGGCCGGTGTTCAGGTTCCTGTCACCAACGTCTGCGATGTCAACATTAATTACACGTTGTCTGAGGCTCTCGCAGGCTGCAATATTCATCCGAACAATGATTCCCGTGATAATGTGGGCAGCAACGATACTAATGCCTCAAATGGTGAAAATCTTTCAGCGAATTCTTGTAATCAAGTTGGGGACGACAACGATCCATGCAAACAAATTCATAATAAGGAATCGAACGATGTTCACAAAGAACTTCACACTGATATGATGATATCAATAGATATCGGTAAGAATGCAACCGCATCGTGCAATGATCCTTCCAGAAAGCCGTCACCGTATCGCAGGAAACAACTCATTTGCTCAGAGTGGAGCGCACAACAACGTGCCGGATTCCTCGCTCAATACCTTTCTCACGGAAAGAATTTCAAGTTAATCTCTGCAAAAGTTAAGAAACCTTTAAAGAAGGTTGTTGAGTATTACTATTTGACCAAGCGTGACCCTGAATTCCGAAAAGCAAAGGTGATGCGTCGCGAAGCGTTGTACAAAGATGAAATGATTGAGAAGTTGGACAATTTCATAAGGAAGCATCAAAAGGAAGCAGATCGGATTCTCGCAAGGAGGAAGCAGTCGACCGAGAGGAGGCGTGGTCGACCACGGAAAGATAAGAAGAAGGATGATGGGAGGGAAGACAAGGAGCAGGGTGAAGACTGAGAGATGGTGTGCAGCTGTAGCAACTGAATGAATCGAGTCCCTTTGCGATTACCGATATCATCAAAAAAAATACGTTCCTTCTTTGCGCTCAAATTATTTGCGGCGATTTATTGTATTTATAAATTACACCTTTCTTTATATAACATCGCAAATAATTTTATTTACGTTTTTTTTCATTTGTAAATTTTTTTATAAATATTTTTTTATTTTTACCTTGTACATAATCTCCACCATTACACGTCTAGTGTTCTTGGTTTGTTTTATATACAAAATCTAGCTTATTGACGTTAGTGTAAACCTTCTTTTTTTTATAAAAAAAAAAAAATTATTATTATTATTATTATTATTATTGTTCGTCACTGAAATCCTTCCTTTTTACAAGTTAGTGTAATTTGTATCATTTAAAACAAATGTCGGTGGGAATTGATTTGGTTGTATCATCTTACCGAACATTATCTTAAGGATGGTGATATCAACATTTATTTTTTCAATACGCATTGTCGGCGTGGTTTAATTTTTTTTCTCCGAATGGTTGGAGGGATTTGAGATCTTTCTTACCGAACAATCAAAAGGTGCGATTCGCCAGTCGAGTGAGGTTGAATTTTTTTTTTTTTTCCCATGAAAAATTTACAGAGATGAATAGAAGTACAGTGGTGTATTTATTGGTTTGCATACCTCAATCTCAAGAATCTTGTATCATTTAATTTCTTAAATATAAATAAAATCTTTGTTGCATGGCGTAAATGTGCTATTCGTTAATTCAATTAATTCAATTTCGAGGGGAACGATTGGACCTTTGTAAAAGGTCATCGTCGAACACGTGTAGTTTAGCTGACGGCGAAAACTGCATTGAGCATGATCGAGATCTTTGACAAGTCATTTATTTACTTTTGTGAAATTTTCATCAATCTATGATTTGCAGATAACATTTTAAACGGTCGGCGAATGAACCGTTTTATTTCCGAATTTCCAGAATCTTCTTGCGATCTGGATTCTGCGTGAGCGAATTCCAGTTTCCCACCGCCTTGAAAAATTATAATCTACCCAACCATATTATATTAACTGGTATCGGAACAGTGGATGTGTGAAACAGATGATTCCACTCAAACTTGTGACGGTGTTAGCTCTCGAGCGTCACATCAACTGTCACGTACAACGTGATGCGTGTTATATCACAAACTGAGTTGAAATTCCGATTTCGGATTTTATTTTATGATCATACATAACATTATCTTATTCCGCAAATGGCAACTTTTTCAATTCCACAATAGTCAATATAAGCGACCCTATTCTGCAAAATTTTGGATTCGGTTAGATTCTGTGATGGATGACGGAGCTTCTCGGATTTTAAAATGATGCCTCTCGAGATGTGAGATGTGTGTGACAAGCATGCCGTGCCTACATCAAGTCACATTGGAAATGTTTCAGGGAAGACATTTGCGGACAATCGAGAATAAAGGAATGATATGCTCTGGTTAGCCACTAATTCGCAATACACCTCCTTTTCACGAGCTTCGCTGTCTCGCGTGTTTGAAGTTCCTTCCGTTACTTTCCGTCTATACATGTCATGTGATCTTGTGAACCATCATCTGACTGATTGAGGCGCATCCAAATGTCACCATCTTTGATATAAATTTTTGTAAGGCACCTCGACATTATTATGAAATTTGCCTTTAACGTATGCACCTTACAACCCTTCTTGAGATTAAACCGTTTTTCAAAGTTCCAGTGCAATAACTTTCGGGCATACATCATAAATCGTCAGAACACGTTTTGTTCTATAATGGTGACCAGGAAACAACCGGAATGGCACGTACCCACCCCAGAGGAACCGGTCCCTGTGCTCAAGGTTTATAATTCCCTCACAAGATCAAAGGTATCTCATTTGTTTGCTTATCCAAAGAGTTTGACATGTTCGCAGATTGAATTTTAACCAATACTTTATCGAAATTCAAAGACTGAATTCGTTCCGAAAAAAAGGCAATCTTGTAAAATGGTATAATTGTGGTCCCACGGTTTACGATGCTTCGCACATTGGGCATGCTAGGTAAAAACTTGTGAGTCAGGCTGTTCGTGAATGACGAGCATCGTTAGATTATTCGTTTTGCTGATTATCTCATCCTTTTTTATTTGTTTTATTTTTTTGCAGAGTATACGTCACGATTGACATAATTCGTCGAATATTAACAGATTATTTCAATTATAATGTATTATTCGTGATGAACATAACCGACATTGACGACAAGGTACGTATTTTCACTCTCAAAATCTAATCGATCACGTGCCATGTCTCAGCGGTCATTGTTCATCATCAAGTAGATCATCCTTCGAGCCCGTCAAAATCATCTCTTTGAAAATCTCAAATCATCTACGGATGCGCTTACACCGGAATTAATCGAAACAGTCCGTACGGCGTTAAATGATTTTGCAAAAACCAAGCTGGTTCACGGTGAAATCACCGATAAAGAAGATCCAAAATACCTTTTGCACGCCAACTCATTTGTATGTTATCGAGATCTCTCCTATTTACAATTGTCAGTGCATGGTCGATTTCCTTAGTTCTATGGTTGACCATTGATCGTGTGTGAATCTTTGTAGAGGGAAACGGTCCAGGCTGTTGCAGCGGCCGAGGTATCACTTGAAGATAATGACACAAGTAAAGAAACGGCTCATCAATTATTGATTGATTCCTATGAGGTTATTGTCGCGTGGTTAGACAAAGAGGTAACTACCTTTTCAAGTCAAAGCTGTCCATCAAAGAAGATCTTGTTTCACGACATCAGCTTATTTCCACATTAGAAAGGTGCATCGATCAAGGATCCAAAGGTCTTTCGCAATTTGGCGGCCCATTGGGAAAAGAATTATATGGAGGATATGAAAGCGTTGAATGTGAGCGGATACTATTTTTTACGCAGTGTGAAAATTGAAAGACAAAAAAAAAAAATTGTGGCGCCTAATGTCCTCTCTTACATGTTGATAACCGAAGGTTCTCCCTTGTGATGTCTTGACACGTGTTAGCGAATATGTACCAGAAATCGTTACCTACATTCAGAAAATTCTCGAAAATGGCTATGCATATGAATCTGATGGATCGGTGTACTTCGATACGAGTGCATTTGACGGCAAAAACGGTCATCACTATGCCAAGTTGGAACCTTGGTCGGCAGGCAATGAGAAACTTATCGAGGAGGGAGAGGGTAGCTTGGGAAGTAAACTGATTGGGAAAAAAAACAAAAGTGACTTTGCCCTGTGGAAAAAGAGCAAACCGGGAGAGCCATCTTGGGAGTCACCTTGGGGATCGGTGAATAGTAATATTTTAGTTGCTGTTTTTTTTTTTTCTCTTTACATCACCGGAACTTATTCTTACAAAGTATGAAATGTCAATACCATCTTAGGGTCGCCCTGGATGGCATATCGAGTGTTCAGTGATGGCAAGGTAAATTACGCTGGTCTCACGCTTTTTTTGCGTTTAATAAATGACTCAATTCACACCTTGTCGTATCAGCGAAATTCTTGGTGAAAATATGGACGTTCACTCGGGTGGGATTGACCTAGCATTTCCTCATCATGACAACGAATTAGCACAGTCAGAGGTATAAGCAATCAACATCTGCCTGTTATCGAGAATTTCCCGATTTAATTGTAGAATTTGATAGGCATATCACGGATGTCAACAATGGGTCAACTATTTTATTCACGCCGGGCACTTGAATCTTGAAGGTCAAAAGATGAGCAAATCGTTGAAAAATTTTATTACTATTCGGGTAGGGTTTTGGAAACACGAATTATACTTTGTTCGCGGAAATCTCGACCCTCGTTTGATAGAATGACTTTCGCCCTTTTGTTTCAACCAAATACAGCAAGCGTTGGAAAAATATAGTCCACGACAAATTCGATTATTCTTCCTTCTTCACCAGTGGGACGCAAAAATAGATTTTAAAGATTCCAGTTTGTCGGAGGCAAAGAGTATCGAAACAATCCTCAATGTATGTGACGGATTTTCTATATTCCGAGCGTGTCTTTATTTATTTATGACACTCACATCGTTAGCTAACAAATCACTTTAGAATTTTTTCGTCAACGCTAAAGCTCTAATAAATGAGTCCAAGCACACTGCATACGAATCCGATGGGAAACATCGATATCGTGACTCGGAAAAAGAGATCTTGAGCCTGTGAGTGATGTTGATACGCATATGTTGACTTCTTTTTTTTTTTTCTCGACACACCGAGATAATGTTCAACTTCATTGAAAGTTTCATCGAAAAGCAAGAAGCCATCCACGCCGCGCTCTGCGATTCGTTCAACACACCAATTGTCATGTCAGAAATAATGGAACTGGTAAACAAGGCTAATATTTATGTTTCGACGGGAAGAAATAACATAAATGTAAATGTGGTTGAGGTAATAGCGAAATACGTAACGAAAATGTTAAGAATATTTGGTGCCACGGAAAGTCTTACGGGCGAAGAAATCGGATTCGGCACATCCGAGAAGCAAGGGATTTCCATTGTATGTGACTTTTTCAGTTACCGGACTTCAACTATCGTCATCTATCCCTCTAAGCATTATTATTATCATTACCATTCACTATTGAATTCTATAGAAAGAAAAGGATGAGTTTCTTCTTCCCTATCTTCGTGTCCTGTCAGGATTTCGCGATAACGTTCGCGAACTTGCTCGACAGAAAAAGGGTCACGATGAATTCTTGTCAATCAGTGACAGACTGAGAGACACCGAATTGGTGGATCTAGGCGTATCATTAGATGATCAGGAAGATGGAAAAGCTTTGGTTAAGTTGGTCGATCGGGACGAACTCATTAAGGCACGAGAGGAAAAGTTGAAAGCTCAGGCCGAAAAGGCGGCCAGGAAGGAGGCCGCAGCAAAAGCAAAAGAGGAGGAGAAGATGAGAAAGTTGGAACAAGGAAAGATAGCACCTGAGATGATGTTCAGGGAGGCCAAGGATGAAGAGGGTAAAAACCTGTATTCAGAATTCGATGAACAGGTAAGTTTATCATAAAGTTATTATTCTCTGGCTTAAAAGGTTGAATGATTTCATTCGCTCATAACAGGGAATTCCAACACACGATAACAATGGAGAAGAAGTTTCAAAGAGCAAGTTAAAGAAATTAAAGAAAGAATGGGAAACTCAGAAAAAATTGAACACCGAATATTTAGATTGGCAACAAAAACAAAATGCTGAGCAGGGCGACAGTCGCGAATAATTAGATGAGGAGTTCACGTGCTCCTAACCCATTGCCATAATTGGCCACGACAGAATGACAATGGACAAATTCCCATAAAAGGCTTGTGCATGCACATTCCATGCTTAGATACTCCTTGATAATCGACGACTCATTTCTGATGACTGAATTTTTGAGTGGTTTTTCTTTTTGAAATTTACATCCAATTTAACAGTGAAAAGTTGTTTCTTCTAAAGTAATTTTAAACTAAATAAAATATGCCACGTAAAGTGACAAACACAAACGCTCCGAAACCGACAAATACCGTTAACGCTAGTTTACTGAATTTCTTTTCGCCCGTTCAGAATGCGTCCAAGAAAAAAGAGAAAAGTAATTAAAATATAAATCCTCTTGACTTCCTACACGTCTTAAACGTTATAGTATCATCCCGCCAGGCTATCAAACTGTTTTAACCGTTATACTAACTTGTGATTTGCATTTGGGTTAGTCTCGCAGGGTGATCCAAAACTCGCATCATTTTATACACACTTTCCACCCTTCAGTGTAAAGAAAACGATGACCATGGCACCTATAAATCGGTTTCAACATGCGGTATCGTCAAATTTTGATGAATTAGTATTCGGAAATAAGCAAGAGGCCGAGTCAAATCCTTCGGAGTCTCGGAATTCGGTGACACCACAAAGAACCGAAGAGTCAAAAAAGTACATCAAAGAATTTTTATCAAAAGTGAGACCGGAATTACTTAAGAAACGTGGAATGAAGACTATCATACCGATCAAAGATTTAATGCGCCAATCTGTCTTGACCAGAATGGAAAGTATTGTCGATGCGATGGAGGTTGACAACGATCAGAACCGCGTGGAAAAAATGGATTGGATGAAGATTGAGAACGACGAGATGGTTAACCGGGAAACGAGCCGCATGACCGAACTATCGGTGGATGACGACACGTTGAATTTGCTGGCAGACAAAAGCAAAGTCTGGATGAAGTTGTTGCAGTTCGGAGAAGATAAACGTCCTGCATATTATGGTATCGTGCTAGCACTGCAATGATGCACTACCTCATTTGGAAATCGCTTCGAACCTTGAATTAATACTTTCAATATAGGCACATGGACAAAAACTAGCAAAAAGATATCTGCACGGAATCCGTTCGCCAAAGATACTGATATTTTTGATTACGATTACGATAGTGAAGCTGAATGGGTGGAGGATGAGGGTGACGAATGCAAAAGTGATGAGGAAGAAAAGGAACCCGAAGAAGAAGATTCCCAGGTATCGCAGATTGTCCATTCATATACAGAATTTCGTTACGATGATATTAAATGTCATTTTTCGTTATGGTGTCAGGACGATGACTGGATCGTACCTAATGGATATCTGTCGGAAGATGAGATCCACGAATCGGACGAATCTTTTTCTTCCCCATCATCGCCTGGTAATATACATTTGTTACTACATTAATTTATGTCAAATATTATTAAATAACTTTATTTATTAACATTTTTTTTTTTTAGCCAAAAAGTTATCGGGAAGTGACAAGGTGATTAGTCGTTCACGGCCCTATCTTTATGCCGTTAACCTCATCTAACCATGTTCCACTTCTTTAGCCTAAAATAGTTGACGTATTGCGGCCAGTAGTGATCGGACCGGTCTTCGAAGAATATCCTGGGGTCCCTGATCACCAGTTAAGCCAATATAGTGCAAGATTTTTAAGTGGTAATCAATATTATATCTTACTTTTTGCGTGACTCGAATGGTTTATAACATATTTCTCTTTCTTATGCCAGCGGATGTTTCAGCACCCTATAATGTTTTCACGAGTCCACCAATACAAATTCATTGTACTAACAGGTCAACAGGACAGAACAAACGAAAGGTCAGAAACACGACTGAGATCAACGGTTGTAACTTTGAAAAAGAGCAACCGCTGGTCAGTAAACAAAGAGATAAGGGTAGAACGAACCGCAACACGAAAATCGAAATTGATGAATCGAAACAAGCGATGGATTACACATTTATCAACGAGATGGTCATATAATAGACGTCTGAAATCAACTAGAGATCCTGTTTAATTAGCATGCGTGAGAAATCAAGGAAAACTTTGTGCACTAAATAGCGTGGGTCAAAAATACTTGACAATATGTTGGCTTTGGTTGGTCTTGCAAGTTTAAATAAAATAATAAGATCTCACATGAAAAATAATTTAAATCGCGATTGTAATATCTTATGGACAGACTCGCTTAGGTGATAATGTTCAAAAACCAAACTGTTTTCGTGGGTTGATAATTCAATCAAGAAACCAAATGAAATCTTACCAATAATTCACTTCATTATTTTGATGTTGTTGTTTCTGCATGTGCTCAAGCAACCATTGAATCCTCTGAAGCGTTTATTCTTTACATACTTTTATCTTGTGCACTGTAATGAATATTTACAAACACGAATCAATCGAGGAGTATTAATAATGTAATAAATAAAACCCATCAGTTTCACAGTAAATACTAAACAAGTTTAATTTGATGCGATTAAATATACATCTATATTAATTTCTTGTCAATTAAAAAAAATTTTTTTTAATAGTTGACTATGTCTTAGTAAATTATTTTATATGATATATAAGTTTAAACATATGGTTATAAAATAAACAATAATTACTTTTTGAAAAGTTAATTATTCTTATCAAAAAATTTTTTAAAATACATAAATATTAACCTTCTTTTCGATATTAACCATATCTAGAATTTGATTGATTTAAATTATATTTCGTAAATTTAAGTTAAGAAAATTTATTATTACTAGCTTTATTGCCAGTTTACAAACACTAATACTGTATTTTTGAATCTGGTTTTCAAGCACTAACAATTCTTAAAATAAAAATAAAAAATTTTAATTAACAAAATTAAATTAGTATCTGGAATTATTTATTAAAGTTTTGCATTTTATTATTTTTACAAAAAAAAATAATTTTAGCAATTAACTTTATTAATATATGTATTGTATTTGTAATTTATTTAATATTTCAAATTTGATTACTTTATTAATTATATTTAAAAAAAATATAAATATTAATCAAAATTATAAAAAAAACTCTTTCCCGCAAATCTCAAAATTCCTAAAAATTTCCTTTTTTAGTAATACACCCAAAACACCCAAAGAAACACTCAAAGAAGACACCAAGAGAAAAACTTCACAACATCTTTCAGAAAATAAAGGAGGACAGACATAACAGGTATATTTTGGATTCAAAAGTATACTAACTTTTCTTTATTATTCAAAACCAAAGACAGATACTTGTGACTTTTCACTGGGAAAGAGTGAAAAGCAAAAAATACAATTC